CAATAAGCCTTGCAACATCTTTAGGGTTGAAGGGCCATAACGAACATCTCCTGGTGCGCACGGTAACATAGAGAAGAAATGACATCATTGCAACGTTTGACCGCTACAGCATACAACTTGCTGAACGACATGGACACCAATGTGGACCCGTGCGACGACTTCTACGCCTTCGCGTGTGGTGCGTTCACCGAGCGCACAGTCATTCCGGACGAGAGGTCGTCCGTCACGAGCTTCTACCTCTTGGGCAACGAAATCGAGATCAAGATGAGGAAGCTAATCGACACGCCAGTCTCAACTGATGACACTTCAGCCACGGTCCTGCTTAAGAAATACTTCAACAGCTGCATGAATAAAGGTAGGCCATGTTCAATGGCCTATGTCTTTAATCAGTTGGGCTGGCAGAGACTGTCATTCGACTGAATTCCCGTAAGCAAGACGTCCCGTATGGTGATTTCAACGTATTGTTATGTGCAACATGCTTTAGATTTATCCTTTAAGTGAGATGAACTTTTTATAGAATTAAATGACATGTGAGACGTATCCATCGAAGGTGCAATCAACCAGTGCAAAATCGTTAGCTTTTTTTGTCTGTCAAGTGTTCTCCCGAAGTTCGCAAAGATATAAACCTATGTGTGTGATGCGTGGCGCTGCTATGTCTAACAAACGGTGGTCGTAGTGTTTCTCACTACGCTTTTCTAAGGTTTAATTTTTTTGGGCAGAGACCATCGAAAAGCGAGGCCTGCAGCCGCTTCACGACATCTTGGCCAAGATGGGAGGATGGCCTGTGCTAAACGGTGAGATAGCCGAACAGTGGCAGCCCCAGAACTAAGCAATTCATACACATTTATCTGCCTATTACTGTGAATTATTTGGTGTTAAAGTACCTCTTTATATGACTTAAAGTCCTCCTATTTCCGAGCTTGGCACACACGAACCTGTGCAGACTTTCTCAGAACGCCTACTTCAAGGCCACCAAGAGAGATGTGATGTCATAAACACGTTTTTATGAAAATTGCGTCTCCTCAATGGTCATACCGTGTTCAAGGTCAAGACAAACATGGCCACTGACCCATTCATGTCTGGAGTACACCAGCACGAACACCGCATCAACGGACAGCAGCTGGCTTCCATCCCGCTTATCGCGTTGAGTACAAGCTTCGACCACGAACCGCGTTGTGTGATTGATTGTACCGGCATTTGGCAGTCCGGCTTGTGTCGGACACGGGACTGGTAATCGAATAACTTAAGAAAAGCACCTCAACCGAAAATGCAATTGTAAGAAAGATGTATGCTATCAAGGAAAAATATACAGCGCCATGAGAAGGGTCAAAACACGCGCACTCAACAGACGTCGGGGCTATCTCACACGCATAAATTAATAAGCCTCCTTGCAGCGAGTTGAACTACTGCAAGCGGTCAGCCAATCCGCTACGGTGGCAATTTTGACACAGGCGGGCTGGCAACGACTATGACTTCGAAATTACCTCCCATGACATAATCAAATGATGACGCGGTGAGGAGTATATGTACTAAATACTGGACTTTTGCTATCTGGGACAGTGTTCTACACTTAGAGCATGCCAGTAGTTGCAAGTGAGCTTTTCCATGATATCTGGGGATGCCTCAATTCCTTCAAACGTAGAACATTTCCTTCAACATGTATGAATCAATGGATCATTGGCAACACATCAGTTTATGACGCATTCAGACCTGGTCTCCACTGATCGAATACGATTGCAAATTTCAAAGGCTTAACACGTGCTCGGATGGGGAGTCAACTTGACCCCCCCCGGAGGTTTTCCCGGAATGGTTTCCGAACGGCGCGGCGCAGCCGCGCCAAATTTTGCCTGGCTGTAGACAGTTGAATAGCAAATCGTATGGTATCAACAATTTAGATGTACCTTTTAAGGTCGCTGACCTATGGCAGGTCAAAGTCAGGTCGTGGTTTCAGCGAAGTCAATTTCTAGGGAATCGTTTAATCTGATGCAACAACGGAGTGTTATACGAAGCCATACATTTCTGAGGCAACATCTCTGAGGCTTTCTTAGGCAACACAAATATTAAATGAGCAAATAAAGTTGACCTAAGGTCAGGCATGAAGTCAGACCAAGGTCAAAACCAGCCTGTTTTATTACTCTAGGGCTTGCTGTATGGGATAGTTTCTGGTGCTCATTTCGAAGTTATTGATAGCGAGAACCGCATTATACATCTTCAATCGACTTGTTTGATGTCACATCACGCCATTGATTTAAAATGGCCCGGTTCACATTTTTTTCTAGAAACATACTGCATAGCGTAATCTTTGCCGCTTATTCAGATGCAAAGCTCGGAGCAGTCTTGTATGATTATGGTCACCATGACCTTCAAATGGTCAAACAAAGTCACCGACCTTAAATGAGCATGCGAACTTTTGCTTAGAACAGCTATCTAAGTTCTGGGCGAACTTTGAGACCAACCTGAATTTTGACTTTGTTTGACCTTATTTGACTCAAAGTTCATGATCTAGAAAACCTCAAATTTTGACCTAGGTGAGCTCACGTACAGGTCAACATACCCGGTAAATTTGGTTGCCTCTAGCTCTCTTAGTTCCCGAGATCTCAGAGAGTCAACTTGACCATCCCAAGCAAGCGAAGGGTATCCAGGCGGCCACTCGGACGCGAGTTAACAAAAAATGTGATCAAGTTTACAAAGGGGTTCTGAACACGCAGAAAACCACTTTCACCATTTATCGGTAAATCAGGGTAAGACTTGAGCTACCGATAAACGGTGAATTCGCTTGCCACGCACATTTGGCAAACCAATTGTAAGGATTCACCAGTTGATTACCATACTGCCCAACCTCCCTGAAATTTCTAAGAAACATGCCATCTGAGTTTGTTTGAAGAACAATGATCAGCGCACAGGTGGAAGGGAAAAAGTGCTGAAATATTCCTGCATCTGTTTTGGTACTTGTATGTGCTCCAAGTTCACACGCAAGGGAATTGCAGGACATCCAGGTGGGTCACAATAGTGGTAGGTTAGCTTTGTTAGAAAACAATTACTCCAGATTCGGGGTAGTCAGGGTTAGGGTTGTCAGTCAGATTCAGACATTCGTTCAAAATTCATTCAGTACGCTTGCCATCGGCTGTATTCCTATGGCCAAGTTGCCACCAAGTTGTCAAGCTGTCTGGTCGTTCCCCGCCTCCACATTTCAGCAGTTCCACAACTCATCTAACAGAACCTGCAGTTCGGCCTCACGCCCCTTGGAATGAAATAGGGTTAGTGAATGAATGGCACGACCCTGGTTGTAATGCAAGATCAAGGCCTTCCGATGAAAAATTTCAATAGCTGAAAAGCCCGTCGAAAATGCTGCAGAGAACGCGACTGGCACGGCAGCCAACTAGTCACGCTGTGGACCAGGGACAGAATTGCCCACCAAGATACCAGCAAGACTCCCATCATTTGTTTGCCTAGGTATCACACATCGTCAGAAGCCACCGCGTCCGCCTGAGCGGCCGCACCGTTGCCAACATCCAACGCAAGCTGAGGTTCGCAGCTCTGAACATGGGTGATTGGTTCAGCGTGTTTAATAACCCTGGGTCTTTGCAGGGTGATGTTCCGGTCAGAACAATTGCGGACATACAAAGGGAGCATACGGTACATACGGTAGGGTCTCTGTTTCGGAGGATAGCGTTATCAGGCAACTTCATATTTCAACATAGGTTGAGCGCTGTTCAAACAACAGATACTCAAAATCGCACCACAGCCGCTGTCAACCTTCATAGATCCGTAAACAACAACGTCTGGCAGCACTAGCAAGGATTCTCTGATTTCAGTTTTCGTTTCATTTCACGACCTGGTGAGCAGCTATGCAGGTTTTTGGTAACAAAATCGCAGCCCAAGACTGCATTGTGCATCAAATTACCAACCACTGCGAACTCCACTTCACCGGGCCCCTGCATCGGCCCTTATCATCTCCACTCAAAGCCAACAAGTACCCAGGGTGTTCAAAGTGTGCCCAGCGGCGGAAACTAGACGGACAGACGGGGGTCAAAAGCGGACTTTGCGGAAATCGCAACGTCAAAGGCGGACTTTGAGAAATCGCACCGTCAAAGGCGGACTGGGAAGTTGCATCGTCAAAGCCTGACTTTGAGAAATCGCACCGTCAAAGGCGGATTTCGAGAAATCGCACCGTCAAAGGCGGACTTTGAGAAATCGCACCGTCAAAGACGGATTTTGAGAAATCGCACCATCCAAGGCGGGACTTTGAGAAATCGCACCGCCAAAAAGGCGGACTTACAGAAATCGCACCAACAACACGACTGTATGCTAGATACACTAGACTGCTTAAGTCAATAAGGCGTCTATGGATCCGCCAACCGCTACTCGAGGTGTTGTGAGGCTCTCCTCCCGACTGACGGGTCGCCCGCCAGTCCCTTTGGGCAGTGACCAAACCCACGGCAAGACCAGCATTGGACGACCTGATATTGGCGCTCCATGGGCCAGTCGGGTTGATAATGCGCTTTGCATCCGCAGCTCTGAGCCTGGGTGATGTCACCCACCGGTTGCGGCGGTAGACTTCCCACTCCCAAAAGTTTGTGGCCTGTGGGATCCTCACCGAGGGGCTAGGTGGGAGATTGAGGTAGCGACCGGTGATCGTTGTCCAGAATCACCGGCCGAATGACAATCCCACCGCTGCCACCATATCACAGCCATCTGCGATCGGGTCCAACCGCATGCCAGGTGTTGCGTTGCCAAAGTTATATTTTCAAAGCGGCCTGACCCGCCATCGCTGACCTCGGTGCCTCGGGTCATCACGAGAGCAAAGGTTAGTAGTGGCGGGCGCAGACAGACGCAAAGGAGCGTCTGACACCTTGGCTGGATACTAAGGTACGTACGAAGTCGATTGAGGAGTGCAGTAATGAGCCGATATGACAAAAATGAAACGTTAAACCTGAAGCAAATATAGAGGCTCATTCAGGTCATCGTCACAATGTTCATGAACCTCACTATAAGCAGCGCTTATTTTACAATCAGACATGCAACTTACCACTGTCATGGATATGATTATGGTCCGTACTATTTAAACCTAACATTAACGCTGGATATTTCCATGGTTAATATTGATCATGAGCGACATCAAGTGAACGGCCCAGTGGCGCAGGCAAGGAAGGGGCACAGAGGGTGCGTGTCTCCCCCTCAGGACCTGGTTCGAGGGCCCGAAAGCTGGCCGGAGGTCGTATTCAGGGTCAGGTGTAACCACCTCCTTATCGTGTTTGTGAAGCTGATGGCGTCTTATTTTCATATACCAACATACTTGTTCTCAGTTTGTCACAAATGCGCTAACAAGCGTCCGGCGGACTTTGCATAAGATATACAACCTCTACACAATATTCGGTACTTTAAGATATACAACACTCCATTGCAATCCACAGAAAAGTGTTGTACTGATCACTTAGTCCCGGTTAACACTTCAAATTTTGTCACTTGGGTAGTCCATAAATTTGACCTAAGCTTTCCTCATCTGATCGCTAGGTCAGCCTAACATTGTATTTTTACTTCCGTGGTAATTTTGCCTCATAGATCCGCCTGCTAAATCAACTTAGAAGCACATTGTGCACGCAAGCAAATAAATATCGTTGTTGTATGCTACTGGTAGACCACCCCTGAACGGTGGCGTGCCCTGACCTGACCCTTGTGGAAAAGAGAACCGATCGGGAGGGACTCCCTTCACAGTTCTTTAGCGATTTTTTCTATGTTCTCAACATCCATTTTCATGTTATGGCATGCGCTCGGGGCCGGGGATCAAACTGAAGCCTTCAAAGATTTTTCCAAAATAATTTCCAAGCGGCGCGGCGTAGCCGCGAGAAATCTATCATGGCTGTCGAAAATTAAAGAGCGGATCTTACTGGTAGATGCACCTTCTACGGTCGCTGACCTATGGCAGACTAAAGTCAGGCCATGGCTATTAGTGAAGGGCATTTTTAGAGGATCGTTCAATGTTAGGCGACAACAGAGTGTTAGACGAAACCACATATCTGAGATATTTTGGTTGGCAGTAAGTCAATTGGATTTAGAGTTCAGCTAATCGATTTTACCTACGGTTAGGTATGAAAGTCAAAACAAGGTCAAAACTAACCTGCTCTTTTCTTCGAGAGCTTAGTTTTATGGGGCAGTTTCTGGTGCTTATTTTGATTTTGTATCGCAGGGGCCTCAAAAGACACGCTCCATGGACTTTACAAAGGCCAACGTTGGCCACTAGTCTAAAATGACGCAGGTCAATAGTTTTTGTTTTTTTTGGAGCATAACACTTAGCGCGATCCCGAACGGCAAATTGGGAGCAATCTCGTAGGTATTTGACCACATAGGCCTTATAAAGTTCAAACGAGATCACTGAGCTCATTGGCCTTTTGCTTAGAACAGGTATCTGGTTTCACGGCGGTTGCATGAGGAGGTTCAGTTGTACTTGAGACGCCAATCTGGAGTTTGACCTAGACCTTTGACCCTATTTGATCCCAAGATCATAACCTAAGGAGCCTCGAAGTTTGACACAAGTGATTTGACGCGAAGGCAAATCAATCCTGAGCATTTAGTTACTCCAGCTACCTTAGTTTCGTAAATCCCAGTGGGATCAAACTGACCCCCACCCAAGCAAAATGTAATCAACCGGTCACCTGGATGCGCGTTAACATACGTCTTAACTGCATCTATCAGAATAATTGTTTTCGACCTTCGTGACCTCTTGCGGTTTCATATTCAAACTAAGGTAAACAGCAACGGCATTTTCTCTCGTACAACGTCTGGAAGCTAGATATCTCGGGGAAGTCAACTTTCCTCGGCCGGGCGCAGTTGTCTCAGGCCTCCGGCCGGGCCAGGTTAAGGAAGATAAAACATGCAGACAAAGAAAATCTCGCCACCCTTGAAATCAAGTGGGCCCTATCCAGTAATATTTTTCGAGGGGAGGGGCTTCACCATCAGAGGCATGCTGTCAACTCTGTGCCTCCCCCCTTTATCAAAGCTCTGGCTGCGCCCCTGGTATGGTCTGATGGCAGGGAAACCCGCCCGATGACAGGTTTCCCTTGAATAGTGACGTCACATGTCATATATTTGAATGCACAACAAATATATAAATATGCATAGCTAAAAGAAGCAAAATTTCGACCTCATGTTGCATTGTAACAAGAATCCGTAGCTGCGCAGATTCTTGCTGCAACACACGTTTCACGGGCAGGGGTTAACTCTCGTCTGACTATACCTCTGCAGGCTCGGCATGGGACGATGCTGCCTTCCATTGGACGGAGGCCGTGTATCGGAACCGGAAGTTGGGGTACTCACAGAATGACATATTTTGGTTTGGCATCCTACACGACTTAAAAGACCCCACAAGGAACATCATCAGCCTTTTTGACCCGGCTTTGGGCTTCGAAAGGGCATCGCTCATCAGAGGTAAGTGCAAAAGCACGCGATGTCGTGTTGCGGCGCCGTTTGTCTAAATTGCGTGGACCACGATCCGTGAGGCTTGTTTGCAGCGACGTCAATATGGTGTAGTTGGAATCAAGCCTTTGTGGTCAGTATCACGAAATTTTCGCTGAATTCTCCCCGAGAAAACGCATGACTGCATGCCTGGCTTTCTCGCAGGTTTCAATGACTCAGATGTGCAGGCCTACTACGGCTACATGGTAGACATGGCCGTTCTGCTGGGAGCCGAACCAGGCATCGCCAAACAAGACATGGAAGCTGCGCTTCACTTTAAAATGCAGCTCGCCAACGTGAGATCACAAATTTGGGGAGTCTTTCAGCAATGTTCCGTGCATGTTTTGTTGCTGCTTACATGTGTTAAAGAAGTGGTTCTCACAACAGTTATGATGACCGACTTATGTGAGACGGCACGAAAAAGTTGCATGCCAACTTGTCAACGGGTCTCCGCTCACCATCCTGCCAACAGATGTCGCTGGCGAAAGAGGAACTTCGCGACGTTTTCAAACTTTACCACAAGATGACTCTCGACGAGTTGAGCCTGTTGGCACCTACCATTCCCTGGGTGACCTACGCCAATAAACTATTGGAAGACGTCGGACACCAGGTACGCCAAGCGATGCCAACAACAGACAGGATTGTATGGAAGAAAGCAACACAGCACACAGAGTGTTTCTGGGTGCCTCCGTAGATCTCAACATTGTTTTCCTTTTCTCAAACAGTTCATATAATTTTGAGAACCGGATTAAGATGCCGATTGGGAGTCGCATTGTGGCTTTTTAAAAAATCCATAGCCATATTCACCATGAACACAGGCCGGTCATCGGTCTACGGCTTATACATACTGGCCACGTTAGCATCGTTTTGACACTGTCTCTGTTCGACCAGGCCGGTAACTGCATCTTGCCGAGAGTGCGACGCTCGAGTTCGTGTCTCCCACATCACTAACTTACGACGGTCAGGTAGTGGTCCCCTGATGCTACCCCAGAGATGAAATTAACCTCCTTTCTGTCATGGGGTTGATTTGTTTCAGCTTTCTGTTTGTCGGCCGACAGTTGAACACCTAACGAGACAAAGTGTTGGCTCAGGCAGACCCGTCGAGGGCTGGTGCTGTAGTCCTCCATATTTACCGGCTGAGCATCTGGTGCACAGACGAACTGCGCATATGCTGACAGGTTTCGAGTAGCGAGTCCGTCTGGGTCGCCCACCCAGAGTTCTTTATGGACCTGGCCGCGCTGCTGAAGACAACGCCGAAGAGGTAAGAGCCAAATCTCGCACCCAATTCTGCAAGTCATCATAGCATCGGAGCTTCCCGTGTTGAACACAAATTGTCGACATGCCTGGTAAATATAAGGATATGGGATATATCGGGTCCTTTCACGCTCTACTGATTTTGTTCACAGGCTGCGCCATGCCTGTTCAGGCGGGCACGACAACGGGTGTGTGCGTGAGTGTGCGCTGCAACTCTGTGATTTATGTGTGTAAGGCTGTATTGCGAATTGTACAACATAGTTACATGTTGTATCGGAGAAATGAGCGGCCTTGTTTACGTGGGGGAGAGCCCGCTCGTCTTCGCTGCCCTCTCCGAGAGCCCGCCCATCCTCGCTGTCCTCCACCGCGCGCTCCTTTTACCAACAGGGTACAGGCCAACTACCTTCTTTGGCGTGTGGTGGAGGCGTCCGTGAGCCAGCTGAACCTGGCCTCCCGTGACGCGCGCCTCAAGCTCTTCGGTCAGGTGTACGGCACCACCGAGCACGGGCCCCGCTGGAAGCAGTGCCTCGACGACATCATGCACCGGTGAGCATGACGCAGGGACCTTCGCTTTGGTCTTCAATGCTGCTCCGAAAGAATGTGCGTACACATGTTCGCAGTAGTCCCAGCACAGCCATTGGACTACCAAAGACACGCGAATACGATTTGTTGTGGTTTGAATGTGAAAGACTCCCATGTTTGCAGCTTTGGAATCCCAGTAGGATCACTGTATGTGAAAAATCACTTCGACCAAGACTCGAAGACGGCGGTCCTGAAGCTGGTGTCTGATATACACAAGGAGTTCGATGCGATGCTGCTGGAGGCTGCCTGGATAGACCGTATCACGAGGTATCGGCACTTCACTTCGTAGAGGGAAATAACACTCCTTTACAAAACATGAAGATGGTAAATGCATGCCCCTCATGGCTCACGAGACGTGGGTTCTATGTTCCAGAGCGGGGCAGCAGTAATTTTCCAATGTTGGCTACATAAGTGCTTTTGATTTTGATACCAGTTCATTAATTTCCTTGATTTTACGTTTTCAGGCCAAGGTAAGCCCGAAAACGTAAAATTAAAGAAATTATGTAATGTGTAAGCTCGATTTGGAATTGGAGCATAAATACGCCACCTGGAGTAGCTGGGGTTCGGTCGCGTTCCGGTACAAATGCTTGATCGTCGCTGATAACAGAAACATTCCCATGCAGTCACACGGAAAAGGCTCAGCCAATATAAATCGATGCTAAAGACTCTACGGTGTTTGCAGACATTCACATACACCTGATATGTTGTCCTTCCGCAGGCAGCGAGCAATTCAGAAATCGAAGGCCATGACCTATTACATAGCTTACCCAAATGAACTGCTTAACGACACGATGGTAAGCGAGCTCTACGAAGATCTGCAGCTCACCGACGACGACTTCTTCAAAAACATGCTGGACAGTAACATTTTCAACACCAACTACTTCTACAGCAAACTACGTGAGCACGCCGACAAGAACGACTGGCGAGAATTCGGCGAAATCACAGCTGTCAACGCCTTTGCGAAATCGACGAACGGCATCAGTGAGTGGTGTTCACTCGCCACGACGCTGGCCAGCTTTCAACCTCACCTCAGCTGCAGCAGGTCTTGGTGTCTTTGAATTTGTATAGTGTTGGCGATGAGGGTCATTTTACTATTGGTGTTTTCTCCGCTTTACGTTGACCGCTAATATGTATGTGAATGCATTCCCCACTCAACAGTGGGATAAGGCTTAAAACCAAGTTGGTTTTAAATCCCTTGTAATATGACACACGTCCTGTGAGTATGGAAAGCTACTCCTCTGGACCTGCTTGGCAAGACATGTTATGGCGTACTGGGGTTCCCAATGCTGTCGGCACTAACATTATTACAAATTCTAACATTGAAAGACCTGCTATTTCAGTAAGTAGGGCAAGAAATACCGGTTTGATAGCCGTGGTCCGTTTGTCTTATATCTAATGGGATTTTAACGCCTGCAAACTCTTTCTGGCGTTGCAGCGTTCCCCGCGGGTATTTTACAAGGCACTTTCTACAGCAATGACAGGCCTAAGTACATGAACTACGGAGCCATCGGATTCTTGATCGGTCACGAAATAACCCACTTGTTCGACGACAAGGCAAGTATGCGCGCGATGTTCAAGTTTTTGAAAGCCACCTGCAGTCAGCATAGTCGTATGGAAAAGGACTCTCGCGTTGATTCCCGGATTTTGAGCACTTACCTTTTACAACGGGATTCGTGGAAACTCGTAATGTAGCGGTAACTGTAAACCTACTCTGCCCCCAAAACAAATCCTTAGACCTGTCCACGTTAGCCATTTGTGAAAAAGAGTGTAAGCCTCTCGTGCATTTTCTTAAAACAATTTTTGCATGACATGGACCCCAGCACTACTCACTGTATGTATCTTTGAAAAGTCCAATGCAGAACTGTATATAGTGGTCATCCACGCGCTTTACGAAGTGAGGTATCGAAATCAATAGCTCCCTATTACGCGCCAGTCTTAACCACGGTTGTCATCGTGCAAAAGCAATTGAATGATCCATGGATATTGCTTGCCTACTTAACGTTGTCAACGAAACCGATTGACGTCTGTTTCGTTTCTTTTTTGTCATCCCCTCGCTCTGTCAGTGATTGGCTTCTTCCGTTGATGAATATTTCTGGACGCAATAAACTGAAAGTGGGCTGCCTGCACTCCTCACCCTACAAGGTCTGAATCATTTTTGCTCCCCTTAACAGTCGGTCGTTTTTTATTTCCGCACCACTCATCTTTGTTTTAAATGGGTCATTTAAAAGTATGCCGCACAGCTGAGCGCGAATTCCGGTGAACCCGCGCTAATGGCACCGCGAGTTCAGCACTGACATCTCTCCGCGCGACAGGGCCGCCAGTTTAACGCCGAGGGCAAGCTCCAGGAATGGTGGGAGCCGGAGACGCGCAGCCGCTTCCTGGACAGCGTCCAATGCATCATCGATCAGTACGGCAACATCACCGTCGACAGGGTCAACATGCAGGCACGTGTGGGCTGGAGTGGGTGTCGCGCGGTGGGCCCTTTGGTCGTAGTTGCAGCCCTGAGCTCCCATACCGAATGTGGGAGCTGCCGGGGAGCATCCACAGGTCTGCCCGCGGTACAATGACCGCGTAGGTGTGGTTGTTCGTGTGTGATCATGTTAAGCCTTAGACCCTGGGTCCCCCGAGTTAGACCATGCTCTTCGCAGCACGCGTGAATGTGATATGACTGATATCGTGCGAGTGAGTTGCTTGTATCAATGGCAGAGTAGCGGACAGCCACATGCTGTCTTTGCCTACGAACACCATTGGCTTCCGTTGCTTGTTCTGTCGAAGACCAGCATGATTTGCTGCTGGTTTTCGCAGCTTCCTTTTTTCTTTATTATGTTTACCTGTGTGTTTCCGCCACACTCCTGGTCTTCTGTGAATGAGTAACGGGGAAAATAAGCGCCTCATGCAAACTTAACGTTGCCATTTTAAGAGCCTTAAGAACGAAAAACGCGTCTTGCAACACTACACAGTTTTGAATCACCCGTAAAATCGTAATGAAGTTCATATCACAACGACGCAACGCGACTTGAAGATTTTTTGGCAATAAATTACCAGTATACCTATATGCATGTTTATAGATATATACATGACGTATATATATATATATATATATATATATATATAATTTGTATGTATATGTATCAGTATCGCAAATAATACAAATAAATTTTAATATTAAAACTATATCTACGCTGGACATCACATCGCCAAAAAGGCTGATCGTCTGAACTAACGCCAATGTTGCCTGCTTCCCATCCAATACGACACAAACGTGTGCTTTCGTGACCGCGAACTATGTGCCCGACGCAGGTAAACGGCATCCTAACCCAGGGCGAGAACATCGCCGACAACGGCGGCATACGTATGGCGCGCCGCGCCTACGACCGCTACCAGAGCAGTGAGGGGCGCGAGCCGGCGCTGCCCGGCCTGCAGCAGTACACCAGCGAGCAGATGTTCTGGCTGGGTACCGTCAACACCTGGTGCGCCGTCTACAGGGAGGAAGGGCTCCGGCAGGTGATGCGCTCCAGCAACCACGCGCCCTCGTTTGTGCGTATGAACACGGCGATCAAAAACACCGAACAGTTCGCGCGTGACTGGCAGTGCCCGGCCGGCTCGCGCATGAACCCCGTGGACGGCTGCCGTGTCTGGTGAGCGATCGCGATGTTGTTAGTTTTTCAGGCCGCCGCTAGAGTACCATCCACGGCTGTGTACCCATTCAAGGAAGGATACATTTAGGTTGAGTGTAATGAGGATAACGTGCGAACGTTCTTCTGTGTTCAGAACACCGCAGAGGAAATGCGACGTCTGAGGAACTTTTCGTCAATCTTTTACGACCAGGCGACCCTGTCTACTGGCGTAGCGACAGATGGACACAGCACGCATGATCACGGATATCAGGTATCTTTCCACTTGAGACTGATGATGGAACGCGCTAGGTTCGCCTAATGAGCTGTTGATCCCGATAGATCGCATATCGTTCAAATATAATGAGGAAGGATACCGACTTTTGCGCTGTTCGCAGCATAACGCGCGGAAAATGAGACCGATATCGCATTTTCTACGCGAGGATGAACACGCGCTCGGATGGGGGGTCAAACTGACCCTCCCCCAAAGGTTTTCCCGGAATGGTTTCCCAACGACGCAGCGTAGCCGCGTCGAATTTTTCAAAGCCGTAGACAATTGAATAGCGGATCGTCCAACACCGCAAATTTAGATGTACCTTGTAAGGTCACTGACCTACGGCAGGTCAAAATCAGGCCATGGTTTCAGCGAAGGCACTCTCCAGGCAATCGTTCAATCTGATCAAACAACGGAGTGCTAGACGGAGCCACACATCTCTGAGACACTCTCTTAGGCAATACGACGATTGAATAAATAAAATAGCATGGACCTAGAGTCAGGTATGAGGGTCAGACCAAGGTCAAAACCAACCTGTTTTATTATTCCTGGGCTTGCCGTATCGGCTGGTTTCTGGTGCTTATTTTGAACATTGATAGCAGGAACCGAATTATAATCCTACCATGGACTTCTCATTGGTCAGAATAGGTCGCTGACCTAAAATCACCCAGTCAACATTTTGTTTTTAAGAATACACTGCCAAGCGTAATCTTTGTCGCTTATCCGAAAGCAAAACTAAAAAAGCATTACATCAGTTTGGTCACCATGACCTTCAAAAGGTCAAATAAGATCGCTGACCTCAGCTGAGCGCATGACATTTTGCTTAGAACAGTTGCCTAGGTTCTAGGCGCCCTTTGGAGACCAATCTGGAACTTGACCTTGTTTGACCTTGTCTTACTTGAAGATCATGACCTAGAAACTTCAAACTTTGACCTATGTGAGTTCACGTACAGGTCAACACACCCTGTAAATTTGATCTCTCTAGCTCTCTCAGGTCCCGGGATCTCAGGGGGTCAAATTGACCCCTCTACCCGAGCGAAGGGTATCCAACCGGCCACCCGGGCGCGTGTCGAAAGGTCAAACAAGGTCGCTGACCTTAACTGTGCGTGTGACATTTTTCTTAGAACAGTTGCCTGGGTTCTAGGGGCTGTTGTGAGACCAATCTGGAATTTGACCTTGTTTGACCTTATTTGACCCGAACGTCGTGACCGTCCCCGTTGAAAAACATAATGACTTAAGATCAGGTCGAATGTCGCAAAAAACACGCCCGGTTCTACCTAAATTGTCTGTACACGACCCTATGTTCCGAGCCTAAGAAATATATCACCACAAAAAGTTTTCCATTGGTCGTGTCTTAGTCACTTTTCTATCTTTTCCAAAATACGGTAATCTTAGATCAGATCCGGACTGGGTTGTCGGCTGGGCTGTTTGGGTCGATCTGCATGGGGTTACCGACGTGATGCTGGTCGGTTTTGAGCATTTTTGGTAACCTTTGACTTGGGACAAGGTTACCACCTTCTGGAAAGCATAAGTTACCGGCCATGGCGGATCGATAAGTGAAGATTTCGTTGCGACCGGCCATATAGGCTGGAAGCAAGGGGTTGTCTGCAAATTAATTTTTGGTGCTTTGGGGCGTTTTTGATCATTGACTTGACCCAAAATCACCAATGCTAGGGAACGAATAAGTTATCGGCCCAGGCGTACCAACTGGCGTAGGTTGTGTGGTGGTTAGTTCCAATATCTCGAAGCATGGCGTTGTGTGCAAAGCTATCTTTGGTCGGTTTCGGGCGTTTTGTGACCTTATGCATGACTCATGGCTGCCATGTTCTGGAAATGATAAGTTGTTGACCATGACGCATTGATAAGTTAGGGATTTGCCACCGATTTGCTGGCCATTGCATAGTGGTGATCGGTGCCATCTATCAACCGTCGGGAAGACTAACGTTCCGATGCCTGGAGAACGTTCGATACCAGCTACAGGCTGCCGCCGCAACAGCAAAACCGATATTGGCACCGGGGGCTAAAACATCATTCTCCTCCTCCCGGACGGCCCCGGTGTACGCGGCTTCCAGACCATCCTGAGAGACCTGAGTCTCAAACAGCTGGTAGTCGAGCGCACCCATCTTCACCCGATGCCAACACTACTAGACCTAATCGCCACCAATCGCTGGACCTGTTTCGGGCGGCGTCGGCGCGCTACATCTGCCGCGTGTCCGACTGACCGCCACTCAGCGGCATTTTCCGTACGGAGCCGTCGCCGCGAGGAACCGGCTGTTTGCGCCGGCCGTCCGCGCCCGCTCCATTCGGGCACTCTTGACTGTTTGAAATCGCTGACTCCCTGAATGAAACCGCTTTCACCTCTGCATTTATGAGCATTTCTGTGCGCTGTGTTGTTTTCGTGTTGCACGATTAGACCCCGAGTAACCACCACGCAGACGCATCTTCAATGAAAAAAAGAATGTAAAGAAGATATAAATTTGTGCCGACCGGTCTCATAAGATTAGAGTATGGGACTGTCTGTAGCCCACTGTGGCAATTTCGGGTGCTTTTGGTGACCTTTGATGTGACCCAAGGTCACTATCTTCTTAAATAGATAGGCTATCGGCCGAGCGACATCCCATCGTAAATGTTTGATATAGATCGGCCCGAAAAGCTCGTGGTAGGGGGGCACCAACATGTTACGTCGGTCGTTTCGTCTCTACCCACGACACCTAACCTGTGAGACACATCGTCCCGCGTCGGACGTTGCACAGCCCAAAACCTTCACCTCCCCACCTTGTTTCGCTTCCGTGACGTTCCATCATCTGCACTCAAATCTCTCGTTCCATGCGAAACTCAATTTATGAACACGATTTACCTAGGCAGGTAAACAATTATTAACTTTTAACCAGCTACGTCCCAATCATACAGTTCATATTGATTGAAATAGCCGCAGACAATGCGCCATGCCAAGCCCCGTGCCAAATTGTCCATCCGGCGTTCAAGATGACGCACATGAGATGGCTTGTGCCTATTGCGCACGTCTCCGTGCACGTTCCTGAGCGACGTACTTCAGTACATGCATTTAAAGGGAATTTTTCGCATTTGAAAGCATTGAGGCAAGCATTAAATATGAGAAAATAAGCTCACCGCTAAATATTGCTATGTTTTGAAGTGTTAAAGCCTGGTCAAGTGAAAAATTCCCTATTTAGTAAATATGCTCCTCAATACGCCACCGTTTGATTACATCATGGACTGTTTTTATGACTTCACAGTCGTTGCCAGACTTACCGTGTCAAAACTGTTGCTGTCACGGATGAGCTGACTCACTTGCAGCACTTCAGCTTGCGGAGAGGTAGCTCGTTAAACGGCACGTGTTTTGTTGATCCGACCGTCGTTATGTGCGCGTGTTTTAGCCCTCCCTCGCGGAGTTGTTGCACGTTCGTCCGTGATTTTATTAATTTTTCCTTGCACTCACATGCTCGGTTGTGGTGTTCCTCTTGAGCTAATCGCTTCCCAGTCTCATATTCGTCACAGCTGCCCAAACAAACTAGTACCACTGCCCAAAATCCTGCATCAGGTAGCACAAAACATGATTCGTACTCGACACTTGTACTCAGTATTGAAGACCATTCATTTCCCGTTGATGACATGAATCCTACCGTCATTACACCTACCTGCTAACAAGGACCATCCGCCACCTTTCGTGCATTTTTCATGGCAAAAATACATCACGTCTGAAGCAGCAGATGGACACCAAGCTGCACCTAATGACTGCCAGTGTATTCCGCATATTACACTCGCGGCCATCTGGTGGACTCTGGTCACGCAAAGACATTGTTATTAACTTCCAGATCCCATACAGCCTTGGCCACGCTTCACCTAACAGGACATTATGCCGAGGTGCTGATAAAGTCAGGGGCAGTTTGCTTAGGTGAGTGTTCTGCCGGGCTGATATCTGTTTAACAGGAATGCCCGCATTTGTGTGGGCTTTGAACCAAAGTAGCCACCGTGAACACCACTCGTTACAGTTTACACCCCATCCCTTCTTAAAACCTACACTCCACTAGTTTCTGAGCTTCACGCCCACGGAGATGTGTCGACATTTTCGGGGAGACTTTTAAGGTAACCCAGGCATTCATGACGCCATAATAACGTCATTGAAATCCTGCCATTTCATTGACCATGCGGCAATCAAGGCCTAGGAAAACATTGTTTTTGAGTCGTTCATATCTGACGAATACGATCAAGATTTCTAGATATAACAGCCATCAATTGGCTCTCAACCAATCTCGTGGGAGGTATGATGGCGTAATCGCACAATAACGTATCGAGTAGGGTATTTATTAAAGAAAGAAATTATGTTGTCTGGAGCTGTATTTTCTACTGAAAAGATGCCAATTGTTAAATGCGAGTTTATTTCCTCATATTTGATCCTTGCTCCGATACCTTTAAATGTGAAACATTCCCTTTGCGAAAACAATTAGTCGTGTGCCGCGCGAATACGACGTTATTGTGGGAGAGCCTTTGGACGCAGTGTAATTCGCTTATCAGCCGACGCTGACCTTTTTTGTCCAAATCGCCCCGAGACGGTATGTGGTGACCTCCATCTGCTACCGAGTTTGCGGCTACATAGGTGCTCACGAAGGACATGGCCAGGTCAACGCACTTTTCTAACAGCGCGCCAGCGACCGCATGGGGCGCGTCAGGAGCGTCAGTCGCCGGCAAGAACGAGACAGCCGACAGACTTCACACCTGCGGCAGACTCCACACCTCCATAGCTCCGAGAAAACAGGACTTGTGCTGAATAGACGTTGGGGACGGGGAAGCCCTACGTCAGGCAGGTACAACAATGTGGACACCAGAGTTCATAGCTTGTGGCACTTCTCTGCAGATCACATGAAATCATACCCGTGCTCGCCTCGTGCTCGCCCATAATCAAAATACTACGTAAAAAAGAGCCGCATTCCATAGCCATTCGACTTGAAAGCTACCTTGAAATGTTTTCATTGCAGAGTCAACTGCTTATTCCACAAAATACATCCTCGCAATCCGTCTGTATTGCACGCGATGCAATGCATGCAGACACTTGTATTCGGCAATGCCGGGCATTACCGGGTATTGGTGGGCCCCTCACGCCGGGCATTCTTGACTGTTTAAAATCGCTGATTCATTCACTGAAACTGTTTTTACCTGTGCGTATACGTGTAGCTCCATGTACTGTGTGTCTGGGCTTCTTTTTCTTGTACGATTAGACGCAAAACAACCAACGCGTGGATGCGCGTTTAATAGCATCACTGTATGAGGCTTTAATAAACTATATTTTTGGAAATATGCCCCGAGGGTGGGACGCCATTTGATCGCGACGACTTGGCTTTGGCAGGGTGACGTGGGCATCCACCACAGCTACTTTGTTCCTTTATAAGTAAGCGCGGACAGCTTAGAAGAACGACACTGGAAAACCCTAAAAAATCCTGAATTACTGATGAACGTCAGAATTTGAGCCAGGTGACTACTTGAACCCGAAGACAACGAAGTTTGCCCAAAGTAATGATTTTCCGAGATATGAGTGTTCTTACATCCGTGATATCGTGGTTTATAATCCAGAAAAGGCTTTTTCAAATGCAAGACCATGCTGCAGTTATTTGCAACTTTTGAAACCAATAATCTAAAACAACAGAAACATTACATCTTTTAACAGCTATTAAACAAAGATATAGCTGTTTTTTAACTGTTGTACCATGTCTATTTCCTACACATATTAAACAGAATCAGGCGCACAGCCAGAGCCTTAGCAAGGGGAGGGACACAGGGATGACGGAGGACCCCTGATAATGAAAGACCACCCAAAGGTCTGGATATGACCCATTTGTTAATGAGGGAATGTTTTTCTTTGACATTTTTCATTTTTACCTCCTATAACTGTAATATAAGTCAGAAGCTACCACGAAATCAATATTGTTTGAAGTTTGGTCAACAGAGTGTAAAAATAATGCGTTAAATAACTTCATGAAAGAAACCACCGGCACTATTTCTTGTGCAGTGGTTCAGTCGACTATTCTTAAACCGATACGTGCATTGGGGCCCCTAGATGCGATCTCCGGCCGGCCTTTCGTGCCCTTCGGGTCCTCAAATGAGCCCTAATTCGTAGGTTCCGTGGGGCCCGAAGGGCCACTCGAACCCTAGGGGGGCACCTGCCTCTTGTGGCCCTGCTCGCGCTAATAAATACAATCACACGTTCCTCGACGTCATGTGGAGGCTATTTTTCGTTGCAGCGCCGCCTGTCGGCCAAATTGACGCTGTGACTTCCACTTGCTCAATTCCTAACTGCTCTAGTGACGTGCTTTCCAAATGTTTATGCAGGGTGCGAAAAGAGGCATGTCGCTTTTCGTGGTAACGTGGTAGCGGTAACTACGCTAGTCTTTGTGAGAGTCCCAAATTCAATTGTGGGCATTTGCTGTTACGTCGCCTTAAACTGACGTCATCTTGATAATGATGCGTCATTGAGTATGAAATGAATGTTGTCAGGCGTACAAGAGATACGAGCGCTTGCCCGCGCCCTTGTATGCCAGCGCAAAAAAAGAATCACTGGACGAAGGGGAGGGGGGGGGGGGGTGGTTAACCGCTTCTACCCCAATGTGGCGATTGTAATTTGTTTCCAAAAATGAGGGTAGACATTTGACCACTACAGATTCCATACATTTTTTTAACAATACCTAAGCCAGAAGATCGCGGACTTATAAAAATATTCTAAAAAAGCATCACTTCCAGCAAAAAGTAGGTGCAAATCGTTTGTGTCTACTGAGACCCCCTAAGTGGATCTTCCGCGTTCTTGATTTAGCAATGACCCTGGCTCTAATTTCGCAAACGTATAACCATTCCCCGACGACGACGCAGCCGCTTGAAGCCGCCAGAAATCGTTAAATATGAATCCGCGCCGACACACAGCTCGCAAGTTCACATGTAGCGGACGAGGTCCCCAACTGACCACTGGAAGTCATTTCCATAGAAATGCTTGGAAAGCGTTTCCATAGCAACGCTTGATGCAAATAAATGACGTCTAGCACCCGTCAGTTGCAGAGAAAAAACCGCAAGAGACTCGACGAAGGAATACTTTCGTTTTGGTAACACCCGACGCACATGTAAGCATCGACTGCAGATGGCGCAAACCTGTGCTCTGAAATCTGGGCCACTTCAGACAAAAGCGATCGCAAACAGGCCGCCACGCGCTATTTGCCCGACGCGTTCTACACTTCCAGGCTGACCCACACCCGCGGCCGTCCGCTGGCGTCAAGCGGCGTGCTCAGGAGTCGCCAGGCGTCGACAGAGACATGTCAAAGGTCGAGACATCGCGGCCGCTCTGCTGGCGACAGCGGCGTGCCTCAGGAATCGTTAGGTGTCAACAGGAAGACATCGTCAAGAGTCGAGGACATCGCGGCCCGTCTGCTGGCGACAGCGGCTGTGCTCAAGGAGGTCGCCAGGCGTTGACAGAGACATCGTCAAAGGTCGAGACCTCGCGGCCGTTCTGCTGGCGACAGCGGCGTGCTCAGGATCGTAGGCGTCGACAGAGACATCGTCAAGACATCGCGGCCGTCCGCTGGCGTCAGCGGCGTGCTCAGGAGTCGTTAGGTGTTGACAGAGACATCGTCAAGACATCGCGGCCGTCCGCTGGCGACAGCGGCGTGCTCAGGAGTCGTTAGGTGTCGACAGAGACATCGTCAAGAGTCGAGACATCGCGGCCGTCCGCTGGCGTCAGCGGCGTGCTCAGGAGTCGTTAGGTGTCGACAGAGACATCGTCAAGACATCGCGGCCGTCCGCTGGCGACAGCGGCGTGCTCAGGAGTCGTTAGGTGTCGACAGAGACATCGTCAAGACATCGCGGCCGTCCGCTGGCGACAGCGGCGTGCTCAGGAGTCGTTAGGTGTCGACAGAGACATCGTCAAGACATCGCGGCCGTCCGCTGGCGTCAGCGGCGTGCTCAGGAGTCGCCAGGCGTCGACAGGGACATCGTCAAGAGGGGGGGGGGGGGGGGAGGGGGTGAAAGTCTGAGCGCAGCAAACACGGCGGGTGACCTGACCTGCAGTAGACAATTTCTTATCTTGTTAAGCTTCTGGTCCCTTCCATCCCAGCCTTACTTCACACTGCTGTGTTTCATTGAGCTTGGTGGCCACCGAAGGACATTTAGTTCCATACCATGTACAGTTAGGCTAGCCATGATATCTGGCTGGCATCCGTAATTGTCAAATAGTATAAGATTCCCGGCGCGAAGGGTGAATATCTGCATTTCATACAGCACACAGATGCGTGCGAAGCTTCGCGCACGTACATTGTTAAACAAACTTAATTCCTGACGAACGGTCGTGTACAAACTTTCTTTAGATATATCAGATACCTAAAAACAAACCTTTAATTCCACCGTTACGTCGAACAAACGTTATCTTTAACTAGCCCCCGTATTTGTACATGAGCGTGCAGGTAATTAATTGCTTACAACCTTTTTCCATACGATCTTTTGCGCGTACAAACGTTTACGTTACGGGGTTTTCTTGACGATCACTCTACCATATGAACTTTATCTAACCCTATGTTTCACCCAATCTATCCAATCCAGCAGTTAGCTGACAAGCTTCTTAGATACCTTGTGAGATAGCGTTGATATGGCACAAGCACTGGACCCACATCTATATTGGTCTTGGAAGATTTTAATACTGGTGATAACTATCCAAGTGAAGTTCACTCTTCTGAACACGGCTGACTGTGAACTCTAGAGCAAACATTTAGCACACGTACTTATCCTATGGAAGATTATTATGCGCCTTTGTTCCATATATAAACGGGTAACGGCCAGTGCCATTCCACTCACGTCAATCTGTATATACGCACTATTGTCCGCAATCCTTTCATCATGGCAGTTGGGCAATGTAACACCAGATGTCTCTACCGTCGTCTAAAAAATCGTGCAAATATTTTCACAACTAACGGGATCTATTTGCGATTTTGTTAAAGTGTAGGAAGTAGGTCGCACTGGAGTCGAGACGGGCATAGGTGATGTTTTAGTAACTTCCCTGCAGTCCAATCGATGCAGTACTCTTTGTCTTTTCGTCATAAATGATCTTTCTAGATCCCTGCACCAACAAATTTCAGACTTTCCCGATGATCCACGATGCAAACTGGGCTCAAGACACAGACCACTTCAAAGGCCCACTGACGGGGTTCTTGTCAAAATGACATGCAATTCGCGACGAGTAGGGCTCTGTACGGGCTAGAGGCGTAAGCCTACGCTGATACTCAGTTCAGACATTGGTTGCATATTAAAGTGGTCTGGACCAGCCCAACGTGTCTAGTCTGCACATACATTTTCCATTGCATTGCAATATGGATGCAGGAGCAGTGTTGCCGCGCCAACAATACCGTGAGCGCGAGACAGGCGCGTGCCATGACCTAATCGAGGGCTGTCACGCTTGCCATGCATTGGTTCTGGGTATGAGCTCCGCAGCGGGCGCCCGGGGCTGACCGGCCGTCGAAGGTCAGGCTCCTGGTAGCGGGTGAGCGGGGTCAGCCTGACCCGCGCGACCTTGTCGGGGAGCTGCGGTGCATAAAGCCATTCGCAGTCGTGTGTGGCGAGAAGGTCGCTGGGGACATTATACGGGAAACTGGATCGCAATGTTTTGGGGGATGGGATCGGGAAAAGCCTAGCAAGCTCTGTGTAGCAAGTGTTACGAACACAAACTCATTCGTGTAGAACATTTGTGTTTTCATCTTGTAGACGTTTAGCAGCAAAAATAATTATGAAAAGGCAAGAAATAAGCAGAACCGCGGGGGGTAGTTGATTAAATAGTGTGCTTTGCTCATAGAGGGCAAGATCCCAGCGCGAGCTTGAAGTTGATGTCCCTGTTCTGCAATAATTATCAGACTTCAAGTGACAAGATCATGTCGAGCAGTCAACTTTGGAAAATTGGAATACGATACTGAAAAGACTTGAGCATCACACCGATCGCTGATATGTAGCTCTTAAAGGCTTACATCCAGGTTCAGATTCCAACAGCCCGTGGTATAATACACACACCTTTAAACCTATCCGATTTGAACTTATTCTTGTATTTCCTTCCGACTAATCCACCCACCTCCTACGGGAAATTCACGTCGTTTTACCCTTCTGTGGTGCACGAACGGCAACTATCGCGCTTTTTTAGGTTGCTACCCTGTGACGCATCCATAGTCCCTACCAGTAACCTACGAAGCACCCGACGACATGTGACTGTTAGGACAGGCGAAGCCGCATCCGTATAAAATATAAGGGACATAATGATTCATATCCCTGCTTTACCCTACAGTATGCTTTTAAAACATGCCCCAATGGTGGGACACTCACTTCAAGGGGAGTGTCCCACATGTTTGTGGAGCATTGAGCTGAGATAACCATTTTTGAGATCATTTAGTGTAGTTCACAGCCAAGCCCCTTTTAAGACTTGGAATCGTCTTGTTTCTGGGCTTAATGACGGCGAATTTGTGCAGAATATTTCGTGCAGACTGTTTCAAGGCCACCCAGATATGCTTGACGCCATGGAAGCGTCACGGAAATACCGACACCTCATTGGCCATTAAGTGCTTTGTGGTCACTGAATCATTCGTGTTTGGCGTGCGTCAGCACGATTGGTGATACCAACGGTCATGGGTTGGCCTTAAACCAATGTGATGCGTTGAGGGCAAGTTTCAAATACGACTCACGTGTCATGCTACTTATACCGGAATTTCGTGAGTGGCACGAGCTATGACGGAAATCACGAGGAATCAAATAACTTGAAGGGAAAACTCCAAATTTTTACAGGGCTTTCAAATGTTATGACCATCTTGAACACCATTCAATACAGTTCACAGCCTTGCGCTTCTTACGATCTAAGGCCTTCTAGTTTCTGAGCACAATGCCCTCGAAGATGTGCATTATATTTAGTGCAGACTATTTCAAGGTTACCCGGGCACCCATGACACCATAATAACGTCATTCGAATCCTGTCTGTCCATGGGCATGCGGTGATAAAGGGCACGAAATATATCACTGTCGAGTCGCGCATATCTTGTGAGCACGATGCCCAGATGTAATGGCGTGAATTAGCTCTCAATCCATGTTGTGCGAGGCTCGATGACGCAATCAAACCACGAGGTATTGAGGAGCATATGAACTGAACAGGCAAGCTATATTGTCTAGAAAAATATTTTCCAATTAAAAGCGCACCGATAGTTATAAGCGAGCTTATTTCATTAAAATCGATGCTTGCTTCAATTTCTTCAAATGAGGAACATTCTCCGTAGGAAAACGCCAATAACCGAGTATGTGAATGCAAATAAACACTGCAAAGTCACGGACAACTATTCAAGAATAAGGCGAGAGAGTGCCAAAACACGAGCACCTAACGATATTTGGGTTCAGCAAACACGCATCAGCAAACGTCCCACCACCAACAAGCCGAAGTATTACAAGTGAGTCAGCCCATCCACTACAGTAACAGTTCTATCACGGTCAGTATGGCGGCAACTCGGGCGTCATAAAGCGATTATATTACAAAATCAAACGATGGCGCATAAAGGACTGCATTTACTGAATAGTGAAGTCGTGTTGTCTAAAGCAGTTTTTTTGCACTTTCAAACGTATCACCAGTTAAAAGTGAGCTTATTTCATCATATCTGATGTTTGTTCCAATATCTTAAAATGTGGGGCATTTCCCTTAATTACGCCTATGTCATAATGTTTGCAAGACGTCAATACTTCTGCAACCACAAGCAAGGGATTGTCCATGAAGTTAATTTGCTGGTATTCAGCTCAGACGCATATTGGTTTGATTCTTTCCAATCCGGCGATGTATTGTCCAGCAAATTATGCAACGCACAGAAGGGATAACAAAGACAGGATGGGAGGAGATGAGGCTGTTCATAAGCGTGAAGGAAAACATCACAAGCCGCGGAGAGTCGTCATTACGGGCAATTCAGAAGCCATTTGGAACACAATAATGGTTAATAACAAGAAAGTACACTTCATGAATGTCTTCTACGTCTTACCTGGTGGCGACGGCAAAGTTTTCATGCATTTCTTGTGGACGCTAGCGCTGAAGTCCAGCAAGTTTTCATCACGCTTGAAGGTAACTATTGGAGGTGATTGTAATCTTTCCGACTCTTGCTGGGACGCTACGTGCCATAAGCAATGCGGCGGGTGTCTCAGAGCTCATCTGAAAATTCACATCCTTGAGTTTTGAAAAGATAGCTAAAGAAGCCACGAGACTCGCTTAAAGTCCTGAAAACAAATTAGACCCCCTTATAACCTACGCACCAGACCAAGTCAAGGGTAACGACATATGCGATGGTACTACCGACCATGAAGCCGTGATCATAACAATGTGTTATAACTTGAACTAAGGGAAGGACAAGGACAGGATGCAACTTAACAGGAGCAAACTTTAACGTAATTAAACCCTATCTGTATCAGGACCACGTAAAACCTCTGACTGGGCTCACCAGAAAGATAGCAAATGGTGCTTGATTATCTATCAAGAGAGGCATAACGGCCGTCGAAAAGACGATGATGCCTGAAAAAGCTATTAAAGTGAATAGAGATCACCAGGGTAAATTACATGGACAAAATAAATATATAGGGAGCCAAACGAACAATCTGGTGGTCACACAGCGGCGAAGAACAAGACACAAGTTGGTGATCACACAACAGCAAAGAGGTAGAAACTATCCAGACATTGGCGCGGTATAGGAGAGTCTATTGAAATGTGAACCAGGCATGCAACAAGGCAGAGCATGGACACAAAAATAGGCTCGGTGACTAAATAAATAACACAAACTAAGTTGTGAAATATACTAAGAGTTAAAGGAAGGCAAACAATAGTGTTTAGTGCACAATCGACGAACATGGTACCATTATATATAAATCAACAGAAGTCGCCAATGTTTCAAACAAGCCTTGCCAGCGAGTATTTTGTAAAGAGGATAGCAATGACGCTCTCACTATGAGTATTCGTGCAGATAAGTGAACATTCTTTACGGCATTGAGCTTTAACGATTTTATTTAATTGCTTTAATAATATTCGAATCCTGAGCATTTGGGCCCGATGGGATACCTCACGTAGAAAATTGTACAGTTGTTACCGCGATGTTTCTAAAGCATATTTTAGAACAGTTGGTAGATTTGCAGAGGAGATGGATGAAATGAAAGAAGCGTTAGTCTGCCTTAAATATAAAGGAGGAAGCTGTAAAAAAATCTTGTAACTATATGCAAGGGATAGGTCGTATTGTACGCTGCTGCGGCAGTTTGGTGTTTGATTGTCAGCGGCACTGCGGCGCTGCGGGCGAGGTCAAGGCCGCCTGCAGCAGTGATGACCATGATACAGGGGGGTGTGCCGGCGCAGTTGCGCCGCGTGATGCAATGTTAAAACACGTGGCTGCTTTGTTGATATTAATCAGTCCGATAAGACCTTACTGCTGGTAGCAGGGGCAAGGGAAGTCTTGAGCTTGATGCGAATCTGTCGGAATGTAACTTGTTGAACATATTGTCCAGAAATTGGACGTCTCATTGTTTGGTATGTACTTTTTCTTCCCCTACCATTGACGGACGTTGTTTATGTGTGAGTGCTGCAGATTTAGCTGCATGCCAGTGAAAATACTTTGCTCCGCTGACGAGGTCCGATTCAAAACTGCAGTTCACATTGAGGCATCCGGTGTTTGGCATCCCGGCGCTGAAAGAATTCCCAGATGGCCGTGATTTGATCGGCGGCTTCATGGCCCTGTACACGAGATAACATCGCCAAGAGATTTGTTTACACTCTGCGCGAGCCGCCGGGTGACGCCCCTGGAAGTCACTCTAACGGCCGTCCCACGTGGGCACTGGGGCGGTCCGATCTCCGCCGTCGGTAGACTCGTGCTGTGCTTCGATTTCCACGAGCGCAGTATGGTGCTTTTTGCAGGCACTTGCGACGGAATGATGTTCGTTTTACTGAGGAGAAAATAGGTTCGTCCCCGGAAAGTTGGTGCGACAGCTGACACACGTGCCACACCGCACCACCCCACATGCCAGCGAGGGCAGTCCAACCATCCCCCAGGATAGATACGGTCACGTAGCCGACCGGATCAGCGGACCGCGGGGATGTGAGCCCAGCGCAGTCGGGCTTGTTTACTACCCCGCTGCAGCTTACGTACCACACGAAACGATACGCCGGCTCGGGTCAGTTGAAAGTCTCCGCGACCAGAAACATCACCGCAATCGCGTCTCACAGACCGCACTGGCGCCACGCGGTCGTGGATCACAAATCCAGCGTTATCACGGTCCTTGTCGTCGCACCTGCAGCCACGGCCGTCATAGCCGCCGCCAGAGTCGACGCAACCGGCTACGCTGCTGTCTTCACCGCTGCCGTCACCTTACGAGAACATAGAGAGCGGTCCCCAGATCAAAGCTTCCCACCGTCGCCCCAGCGCGTGCATCCGCTGGACAGCCGTACCAGGTAATCCTACCGTCCGCTGACGCCCGCGAGAGGCCCCGTTCATTCCTCTTTCCCGACTGATCCTGCAAACCAGTCTTTGAGTCCTCAGCGGACACGTGCTGTCGGGTAGCACAGACCGCAGCGGCCACGTGGTCGCCTGCATCCACCGTCCACTACCAGGTGACGGCGGATCCCCGGTGTGGACAGGTGTAGTTGGCGGTCGTTCAACTCTTGGGCGGGCGACCGGCTGCCTGCGCGTGGAGTGTTACGCAGTTCCACAGGACCTTGCGCGGATGTGAGGTGGAGACAGCCCAAAAACCGCCCCCAAATCGACACGGCCACCCACGGTCGACCATGCAGGCCAACGGGCTGCCGGCGCCTGATCCCAGCGCAGCCGTGGCTGGGATCTGATCAGGATCAGGATCAGGATCATGGCAGGCTGGACAACAGGCCTTTCAGAGCCTCTCCGGGCAGCTCGGCGGGATGGGACTTCCCTGGACAACGGAAGAGCTAGGTGGCAAACAGCAGCAGACCCCGGTGAAGCAGTTTCCTCCTGGAGCGGCGGACCCGGACGCCGCACTCTCCTCGTGCGGCAGATGCAAGCCCACGAACCGCACTCTCTTCCTCCAGCAGCCGCAGACCCGGTGCATCCTCTCCTCTTGAAGCTGTTGAAGACCCGGAGCAGCATTCTCCTCCACATTAGGACGTTGATTAAACTGAAATACATGGAACGAAGGAGCATCAAGGAAACCGGAGCAAATGACAAAGAGGCACTGCTGTGCACATCAATTAGTGACAGGCACACTCGACAAGGTGGTAGGAATGCCTTTTACCACAAGGATGCAAAAATGAGGGCTATCAGACTACTGGTGACTAAAAAACGGGACGGCTCACTGACAGAGTGACCCCAGCTGTTTGTTGGGCGGGACGGCTCACTGACAGACTGACCCCAGTTGTTTGTTGGGCGGGACGGCTCACTGACAGACTGACCCCAGTTGTTTGTTGGGCGGGACGGCTCACTGACAGACTGACCCCAGCTGTTTGTTGGCTGAAAATTTAAAGGCAGCTGGGAAGTTCTACTGATCAAGGCGCAAAACGCTGAAAAGCATCACTGATGCTTTATTTCTACCATATGCGCACCCACGGGTGAGGCATTAGGAGAGGGGGGGGGGGGGGGCATGGCCCCAGACGCCCTAAGTGAGCAGTTTTCTCGATGATGGATACGGAACAAATTTAGAATAATCTTTTAGTGTATTTTTACTGAGCTTTTCCCGTCACGCCCTCCCCCCATACTCTCAGAATATCATCCAGGTTGCAACTACATTAAGACCTTGGCCCCTTTTCACGTAGCTTACATCTACATAGTTTTAAATGAGATTGTGTGTTGTTCTCAACGGTGTGCTTAGCCAGGGTGTGCATCATTGGGGCTTTGCGACGTACTCACCTGCTGAGGCTATAAGGCGTCGCCTGCCTCTCACCCTGGCAGGGCCTGTGGGCACAGCAGGGAATCGAACCCTGCACCTCTGGTTTCCCAGACGCACAGCTAAACCACTACGTTATCTGTGTCCCAGTGGGCTGTCAGCTTGGACTGATAAATTACATCTACTTGCAAACTAGCACTAAAACGCTGCCACACTGAGAGATCAGTGAACCTGCCATGACATGAAAAGGAAGGTTACAACTGGCGTGTTATTACTCGTGTGAACAATACTTTGGAGTGAAGCAACCTGATGGCTGCAGCATGCTGCATGGCTGTGAAAGCAATGCATTCATTCAAGAAATTTTTCATCGTTTTTGCGCACACTGGTGCTAACTGGAAATGTGGTGAAAAGTGTGATCACTTTCACCTGTGCAAAATGTTAATAACAGCTGTTATTTTTCCATACACCATTAAAAAAGAATCAGTTGTTGTTGCATGGCCGTGGTAGAGAATATGTTAGTCCGCTTCCTGCTGTGTAGCGTGGTAGTGTGGTTATCTGCATGTTGTAGGTACGCACATTGTTAATATCAAGCGTGCTACTAAAAAAACCCACAAATTTGTAGGTGTTGTTGGTAGTGAGTGCCAGTGCTGACCCACCTATGTTGATAAAAATGGCTAAAGTCAATAGCTTTTCGTTGAGAATGGATTTAAGAACAAGCACACAGTTTCATCTTACAATAGGACTTTTCATGATACCATCCAAACCAGGTACATAATCAGCCTGGGTTACATTTACATTTGCATCAGTTCATTTCTGTGTTGAGAGTATGTTTCCACAGCTCTGGAACTGAGGCAAAAAGGTGCACCATATGGCGACAAGAATTGGCCTGCATTTGGTTTTCAATTGCTTCTTTCCGTATGTTGTCACATGTCCTAGTAATGTGCACGGAAAGCAGGTGCCTTACCAATGCTCTCCACACGATAGAACATAAGAAACGAGGTGCAAGAAATTACATGAAAGACATTGTTGGGACAATACTGGAACATTTTTGGTTTTGTTCCCATCTAAAATAGCTGATCTCACTCGAAATGCACTAGTGCCATGCCGCAGTTCATAAAATTGTCGGGATTGGGTGGCATTTACATCTGACATAAACTTTGTCGCCTCTTTACAAAATTGTCTCACAAAGAGTTTTATTACACTGAAACAGCCCAACCCACTCGGTGGACAGAAGACTGTTCAGGTGACTCGGAGAGTGGCCCGCGCCCACGCGTTGGGCCACTGGATAAAAGATTTATCTGAAGGCACGCCATTGAGAAAAATATAATGCCGAGAGCGCTGGTCAGCACAATGTGGATGCTGCGAGACGGCGATCAAGCCCCAGTCGCTGCATTCTCCTAGTTTGAAGCCGATCGAGAAAAGGCACACCGAAGCCAAGCTTTAACCAGAGGTACCCAGCAGATTGAGTCAGATGCAGTAGCTAACTTGCGCCATCGTGCCGGCCGTAGACATTTACCGGGGGTACTGACAGCAAATGCTGTTTTATGACGTAAAGGCGCACAAACTGCATTCAAAACCCTTTTTATTTCATGTCCTTGACTTTTACTCACCTAGGGATGTACAATAAAGACGTATACCATCCACAGAGGCTCTCACGGGAAGACAATTCGGTGGCGAAGGCGTTATCAGCGCCACAGAGTAAAACCTGAGGGGATTGAGACACTTTCATGGGTGTCAACCACCAATGACCATCCAACGCCCCCCCCCCCCCAACAAAAAAAAACGAACATGGCTTGAGGCCTCTTGGCTGCCCATGTTTCTCGATCATTCAGGAATCTCATAGCACGGGCTCTCTTCAGCTCTCTCTTCCTGTCTTCCGTGAGGAGACCTGCCCGCTGATGTCTCGCTGTCCCGTCCTCATCCTGTTCGCTAGTGCCGGGCGTCCTTGCCGACTCCCTTAGGGCTCGGCCTGGCCCAGTGCACCGGAGGCAGCACCTACACGTCGGCATCGCCTGGCGTCGGAGACTCGGGCCGCAGCAGCGCGGCGCATTCCGAATCGTCCGAGTGTGTGTGAGCGAGCTTGGCACAGGGCCGCGCTGGCCGGCTGCCCGGCCGGCCGGCGGCGCGCAGCTGGCGCCGGCGGCGCTGGCACTGCGCTGCCACGGCCAGCACCAGCAGCAGGGTGAGCGCGGCCAGCGCCGACACCGTCACGGGGAAGCCGTGCGCGTCCGTGGCCACGCCGGCCGCCAGCGGACCGACGGCGTTGCCTATCGCGTAGGTACCGCACCACACGCTGGTCACGTACGCCTGCGTGGCCATGTCGTCCGGCAGGCCGGCCTCGGTGCCGGCGCGCAGGATGTTGGCGAAGGTGGGGATGTAGCCGCCGCCCAGGAACAGCTCCCGCATGGTGAGCCCGAGCGCCACCAGCGTGCGGCTGGGCGCCAGCCCAAGCACGGGCGCCGGGCGGGATCAGCGCCAGTCCGACGGCCGCCAGCGTCAGGCACGCCGTCATCTGCACGTAGTTGTTGGGCAGCCGGTCGCACAGCTTGCCCCAAAACGGGCCCGCGATGGCGAACGTGCCGCTGGCGAGCAGATAGTAGAGGCCGAGCTCGGCCGGGGTGATGCCCAGCTGGGCGGAGACGTACGGCGCCAGGCCCGGGTCCAGCGACATCCAGTCTACCGCCACCACCAGCAGCACCACTACGTTCAGCCAGGCCTCGACGGAGCCCAGCAGCACGCGCGTCATCTGCAGCACGTGCACGCGCTGCTGTGCGCCGCCGATCGAGGGCAGCGCCCAGACGCTGACGAAAGTCACGGCCAGGATCAGCCCGCCAAGCGCGTAGAAAGGCAGCCCGTAACCGCCAACCGCGAAGAGGCCGCCACCGAGCGCGGGTCCCAAGGCGATCCCCACCGCCACCATGGTCTCGCTGATGCCCACCAGCAGGTTCAGGTCCGCCGGGAACTGGTTGGCCACGATGGTGTAGGCGGCCGTGACGAAACAGGCCGTGCCCAGCGCCTCCACAACGCGCAGCACGTAGCAGGCGGCGATGAAGGCGCCGGCGTCGGGAATGCAGTCCAGCAGGCCGAACGCCACGGTCGAGACGCCGGCCGTGAAGAGACCTACCTGGAACACGCGCGACGCGCCCAGCACCGGCACCAGCTTGGCCACCAGCGGCGAAAAGACGAACTGCGAGAACGCGAACGAGGCGAACACGCCGCCCACAAGCGTCTGCGACACACCGCGACGCTGCGCCTCAGTGGGGAAGAACGGCACCAGCACGCCGCCGATGCTGCCGAACAGCATGTGGCCCGTCACAACACACACGATGATCTTCTTCTCGCGCCACGTGAACCGTGTCGGCCGCAGCGTGCCGGCGGGCGCGTCCCGCGCCGAGTCGGTCGCCGGTGCGCGGCCGGCGCCGCCGGCGGTCCATCCCGCTTCAGCTCCCATATCTCCACCGCCCCGGAGCCACGCCGCCGCCCGACTGGCGTCGCCTGACCCCGGCGTGGCCGACGCCGCGCCACCCAGCGACGCTCCTTCCGCCACTCTCTCTACACTGCCAGCGGCGCTCCTCGGCGGAGCGCGCGACGCCGACGCGCGTATTTATTCCGGTAGATATGAAAACGCCACTATTGGCAAAAATGTGGCTGCAAAGCTACCAAATTAGAAACGTTTTCTGGCTTTGCTCCCCAGCAACCACTGCTACAAATAAGAATTGGCGAGCAGAATAAATACACATTAAGCAAAAAAGTGTCAACGTCGAAAGAATTGCTGTAAAGGACTGTTATGGAAAATTTTTCAATGTTGAAGCGAGGCGTCACTGTGTCACATGTAAATGAATGGTCCTGGGCGGATGAAGAGTCTGGGTTTGCCAGAATGCTACCCGTACGGTCAGACCTTCCCAGATGTTGCTGCAGTCTGCAATGCAAATTACGCATGGTTGAACCCACTTGAGATGCTTCACATGATCCAAAACGATAATTATAAATGACTGCAGGGGCAGAACATTTGGAAAGCTTGTCTTTTAACTTAAAGAAATATACAACAGTCAAAGAGTTTGCTAAAATGATTCCAAGGGAAAGAAAAGGGAAAAAACTTGTAGCAGGCCTGCAATCTCATTTTTCAGCTGTATCGACTGATTTCCAAAATATGGTTTCAAAATATTTCCAAATATTTATTTAGCCTTTGGACTTCATGAACGGGGGGGGGGGGGTTGACATATTTTGCATCCAAGAAACTCTTTATTAAACCATTAACGATTGGAAGTGGGAAGCCGTTTCTCTGGAAGAATGATCTGGGCTGATCAAGTTCAGAGCAAAAGAGTTTTTAGCTGGAACTTAAACGGAAAGCTCTTAAATAGCTGCTTGCACACCACATTGGTCGAAACTCGGGCCAGTTGGATGGCCAGTGCCTTTCGTGAAAGCACATAAAGATATTGGCAAAAGTGCGTCCAAATGGAAGTCCCATTCCTCACGCCTTCTTTTTGTTTATTTAGTTTTCCATTGAAGATAAATAGAAGCTCATGACAGCGAGTTCCAGTGGAGAGCTAAAACAAGCCACAGTAAAGTCCATGAACGAAGAGCAGGATACAAACAAGCCATTCGCGCAAATGTCTATAGTTTTTTAAATAGAATGTTTGGGAAAAGGCTCTCACCATCAAAGCTGACCATAACGACATCTTCCGAAAACTTAAGTTGTTATATTCCTTGCGAAAATTGAATGTAATTAGTCAGAGGGTATTAATTTATGCTTAAGGGCGTTAGCAATGTTACAAGCTATTTAAAAGGTTTATTGAAGGGCGTGCCACAAGCCGAAGAAATCAGCCTCAAATGAACCGAGGGCTTGTGAAATTTTGGAATCCCATACAGGATCCCAGGAATACTCCCTGGATAAATAAAGCCATTGAATATCATGGGGTCTGCATATGCTTGGAAAATTATGCGGTAGCCTTTTTCGTACGGAGTCAAAACGAAATTTGGCCGCGTTTTTTGTTGTTGTTGTATTTTTTAATCTGTGCTGTTTATGCGCAGAGAGGTCGTTTCATTCGTATAACTGTGACCGTTGTATGTCGAGCGATGTCGGTTGAATGTTCTTATATATAATTGCAACTTGATTGAACTTGTACCATTGTACTCGTCCTGATGATGATACCCAATGCATCGAAACGTTAAAAGCTACATAAATGGCTGCCATAAAGTTTTTACTACCTCTTACTATCCGAGGATGCTTCATATAGGAGATTATCGGACGAAACTACGGCGAGGATTCTGGACCAAAATACTTTACCGTTCTCAAGAAAAAGAAGAAATTGCTCTGGACGTCACGTTTCTCAATTTTTTGAGACATTGTTCCCAATGTCTTGAGATTCAAGCTTTGCAAAAGGCTACAAAACTCAAAGCTCCACCGGTCATGGAAAGATCAGCTTCTGGACCTAGAGCTTAGAGAGAAGAATAGAAGCCACGTGCTACTTCATCGACGCCTCAACATCTCGTTCTCTCAGTTTCACCAACTTTGTCATTTTTGAATTTCACTATCTCCAAACGCACGTTCTGAAGACAGCGCATTCGTCAAGAAAACAGACGATATCCATAGAAGAAAACTGGGAAATATCGACATACGCAATGAGTTACGACCTCTTGATCCCGATCATGTAACATTTAACCAGTGCTCTAAATGCATACCTGAGCGTATGAAGATTCTCCTAGCTTTTCGGTTTGGACTTCTGACTCCCTGTATAAAAGTAAGATTTCCTCGAATACTTTTTGTGTTTTGAAAAAGCTTTGTTTGCGCACTGAGCTATTTACCGTTGCCAAGCCGCTTCAGTTTTGATGATATAAGCAACAGGTCAGCGTGTCCAGTTTTTGATATTTTGTAAGTTTAAGCATTGAAAAGTGCTTTCATCAATTTTTTCTCGTAAAGACATTAGTCTGCTGAAGTCGTTTGCCTCTGACAAAGATATCGTTGTTTCTAGTCCTGGCAAAGGGAGGGGTAGTGATAAATAGTTATGCCTTGAAAAAAATGCTTGCCATTAGCAGTGACTGCTCACATTTCGTGGACGTTCGAGAGGCAAACTTGAAATCTTTTAGGTATGCAGAGGACAGAATTTATAGATTGTTAAGCAAGGTCAACATACTTGGAGCAATTATTCGCCTCAAAACGCGTGAGAATGGATCCGAAAGCGACGAGACGGGCGTTACAGCTCTACTATTTAACCACACATGCACCTGTGCCGCGTTTGCACCACACTGGGCGGTACAAGTTGCCGGGAGGTCCGCTGTTGAACTTGGCAATTATGGACCGGCCGGCCGTCAGCGACTTCCGCGGCTGCTCGGCTGCACCTTGCCGCCACATCGCCGGATGGGCGGCCGGCCTTCAGCGGCTTCCGCGGCTGCTCGGCTGCACCTTGCCGCCGCATCGCCGGGTGGGCGGCCGCCGGCCGGCGGTCTCTGATACGGCACGAAGGAGCCCCTGCGTGGCCTGCGAGGCCCTACCTATCCTATCCTGGCAGGGGACTCTGGGGCTGAAAACGCCAACGCTTTATTGTGGTTTACGGCATTTGAATGATGCCTTACTCATCAAAAATGGGCTTGAAAACATCGTAATGGAGTTCAGAGATTAAATTATCTCCCATATCCAGAAATTGGGCCCACCTTACTCAAACCCCCTAATTCGGTTCCTCCTGGGTGAAACCGGGGCTACGGCACTAGGAATGCAATTGCCATCTTGTGCTTCATGCTTTCTATGCAACACAAAACATATATAATGCTAATGTTCCGAGATGTTGTCAGATACAGCTGCATCCCAATTAGCAGTGAAGTTACACCCGTGGCCTGGGAAGGTGACTATGTAATCGGCACACAAAGATCCCGGCAGCCAGTAACACCATTGAAAAAGCCCATGTCTGTCTCACATTGCTACCGCTGAGTTAACTGCACGCTCACCTACGAACAGTTACACAGGAAAGTTTGGGAAATACTGTAAATTCTGCAAAGCCGAAGGAACTTCCCCGGTCGCCCGCCATCTTATGCGACGAACGTCGACTGGTGGCGAAAACCTCCGCTGTGACCACGCTGGATGCATATTGCACCAAATGCTGCCAACGTGTTCTTCATCACGCTGCTACCGTACGCTACCATATGCTTGGATCATCGAGAATTTCCCTTGGAGTTTGGTTGAAGACTGAAACAAACTTTGGCTGACGGGTCAGACCAAAAACTCTGTCCGATCTACGGTGCTAATGTAAAACCATACTGTGCTAACACGCTTGCACGATGGTATAACTTCAGACCTAGGCTTATCACCCCAGGTGCATAGGCCTTGGCTTAAGCCAACAGGTTTGCTCGCTTAAACCAAATGATATTGAAATAGTCGTTAATGCTAACCAAATGTAAGCTTAACCGGAAGCCAGCGCATGGAGACAAAGAGATCTATCGAACCAACCACATCAGTAGATAGTAATTTTGAACAATGTTTGGTCAAACACTGGAACGTTGTCATTTGAGTGTTGAATACACAAGAGTGAAGGCACACCTGTATACTTACCATGGTGTAAAAGAGTCTGGAAAAATGTGGTTCGAATTATTTGTATCAGACGCTGGGGTTATCAATCTACTGGCTAGTGGTGTGTAAATATGCTACAAAACGTGTAATGTTATTACTTTGTGATTTATTCCAAGCTTACGATATTTTTGCTGTATATGATTATTCTATATAATGTAAGAGTTACTCTACCAGCTATTCATACCAAAGACAGATCTGTTTTGTTACTGAGTAAATATACCCTGTTTATTCTAACTTTTCTGTGTGGGCGCAGTCCGTACCGGTGTAATTTATTTAGAGGCTTGTAACATCTCCTTGCGGGCAGCGTTTTAGTGTCTTGAAGCCGAGGGGGCTCGGGACTTTGAGAGTTGGAGAATACATGTGAGATACACATCATCAGGTTCTGGTTGATTGTGTGCGTTAGCAAACACAGTGTACCAACTGAGAGAATTTGACGATGATTCGCAAACTTCACCCAAAACACCTACTTCAAAACCATGCTTTCCCAAATTGTGTCCCTGTCCGCCAAGCTAGAAAGCCCGGTCTTCTTGGAACAGTCTCCAGCGGAGTCTGGAAGAATGGAGAGGGAATAGGGCTAGGGGCCGTTTACAATTGTGATGTGAACCATAGGATGCAATCATTGCGATGCAATTGTGTTGTGAATCATAATATTTTGTTCGGATCCCGCACTGTTTACCCACTGGTTGCACTGAAAAACTTTTATCACCTTGTGTATGCTGCTAAAACGCTTCGGTAAGACGCGTTCGGGTGGCCGGTTGAAAACCATTGGTTCGGGTGGGGGATCAGACTGACCCCCTAAAATCTAAGTTATGTAAAAAAATAGAAGATCTAGAAATACCAAGTTCATGGGGTGTCATGTCTCGTATGCAAAGTCACTTCGGTCAAAATTT